TGTGATTATCCATCCCCCCAAGGATTATCGTTCAAGATTTGGGCCTTGAATCAAGATGAATCATTTTCTTTTTTACAAATTCTACCCTTTCAAGCTAAATCAGGACCGCTTCTAAATTCATCCATTTTTCTTCTTTGTGCTTGGGATTGAGGTTGTTGATTAAATGATGAGCTTGAGTTATTTGCTCAACAACAAAGGGATATTGAAGATTTTTGTAATAACTACAGGTACAATGATTATTTATGATAATTATTTAAGACTCGTGAACATGAGTGAGTTGCATTAATATGGTGGTTTTGCTCATTGTCATATCTTTCTTTGATATAATTGATTTATTTATTTACAATCATTATAATACTCTTACTTTATTAATGTGGTAGGGCAAAATCTACACATGCAAAACGTAAGAGGCATTTAGGGTCTTCCTAAGGCAATTTTGACACATCATGGACAAGAATTTGTACATTACTAGAGCTACAAAAAATAGACATTAAATCTTCATTTGAAAAGAGTTTGGGTACTGTGCAACATTATTTCAAGCCTACCTTATTTAAAGAGCTAAGGCGATTTACATAATGAATTACAATGAATTTAATACTTCAAGAGTCCAAGCAAGCTGATGACATAGGAATTGACAATGTAGCTTGTGGATGTGGTATACGACAGACACATGGATTATCTTGTGCCAATGACAATTCTGAGTGTAAAATAGAATCTTGATCCATCCCTTTATCAAGAGTACACTCTTACTAGAAGAAACTTGGTCTAAAGCCTTTTGACAAAGGTAACACAATATGCTACAAAACTTGGATAGTTTCATTATGCCTTTAAGCTAGCATGCACTATTAAGCAAGCCTCCAATTAGGAAAAAACCAAAGGTGTATTGAGCATGTGGATTAAAGTCTATGGCTTATTTGGATTCATTTCCTATTCATTTGAGACCCTACATATTTGGTGGAAAGGATGTAGCCTTAGATGGTAATTGTGGTTTTGGGACTGTGGCTAATATTGTAGGTATATGTAAAGAGAATTGGCCTTTGGTTAGAAAAGATATAATAAAGAGCTTGAATCTCATTTCGATGATTACTCTAGATTCTATGGGAATCTTGATAGGGTCCATGAGTAAATTCATTCACCTTCTCATTTTGATGGTTTTGCGAGTTATGAGTCTTGGATGACCATGTCGAGTATGGGTCATCTTATTGCTTCAAGATACGAGGTTATTCTTATTTACTTGAGCCAACAACAATGTTTTACATTTCTTCCACTTTGGATGAACCACTTGCAATCACATCTCATAGGATTCGTTACAATTGGATTTGTCAATAGCTGCCATTTTGTCTCGATAAAATATTTATTAACTCAACTAATTTTTTTAATGAACTATTTGAAATTTTTACCAGTGTTTTTCATGTAATTGTGTACAAGTGAGTTGGAATATTAGTAGGCCAATGCCAACTATTGCTTGTAATTGGTATGAGTACCATCATCTATGTGCAAAAAAATTGTGCTACACCTATCATGCTAGAATGCAACTTTATAGGTTCCTAGCAAAAGAATTCGTAGCTATATTGGAGATAATTAACTTGGATAAACCAAAAGACAAGTTATTGATAACACTACTATTATTGCTCTACAATTTGTGACATGCTGAATATATAAAAATAATATTGGCACTTTCTTGCTTTCATTGTTGTAGCTGAAATATGATTTCTGATATGTTTTTTCGTTGACGAATGAATTTATCATACCAAATTCTATGATATAGTAAATGTAATTACGTTGAACAAACACACAGCAGTGTTCTTGTCGACACTAATTGTGATTGAGACACGAGATAAGATTGTACTACTGATTTTCATAGTAATTTTGAGAAGTTGTAACAATAGAAAACTAAATTTAACTTTTTTTCCTTTTTTGTTCAATTTAATACAATCACCCTGTGCGAAAGAAAGTGTAGAAAATCCATGAAAAGATTGTTTTCTTATAACAAAACTACAATATTTTGTTCAATTTTCGTGTCATAGTTACAGCTTAAAAAATATATAATGGTAAGTGCTGTAAAACAATGAATATATGTAGTAATAGTGTTTGACGCTTCAGGAATAAAAAGGCTCTTTAGCAAGATCCTAGATTGGATGTCTTGTCTATCAAATGAGATGAAAAATGTCTTCTTATTCCGTAGCTCGTCGTATATGATGTCCTCCCGAACCCGTACGTCGTCCCTAAGTTTTTCTTCGAACTACAGATGAGGTCGTAGTAAATCTTCCTCGTAAACTCAGCTTAAGCTTTCTTGAATTTTGAAATGGTGTGAATTAATTGAAACTACTACTTCATTTCATATTGTGTGGTATACGGTAATATTTGCAAAAATTACTTAAAATCAACTTGGAACTCACTCTCAACTTTATTATTAAGTATTCATTAATACTGTTTGATGAAATACTTCAATGATGTCTTCAAATGCACCCATCGAAAAATACATTTATACTCTCACTTCTCTGTGTTGTTGATATATATGTCCAGAAATTGGTCTTCAGAAAAAAGAAACTTAACGACCTATATTCTTATACAAATAAGACAATCAATCATTATCCTGCAAGCTATAAGTATTAACCATCACAGCCCAAACTTCTTCAAACTCTTGAACAAATTGCGAAACATATACCAATCCATTTATTGCTCCAAATATCGATGCCTTATTATCATGGTATCCAAACTTCTCGAGCAACTTATTCAAAATGTACCACAAACACCAACTATGTCTTATGTTTAGAAAAACCATCTAAATTACATTTTGCATTGCTCTGTATTGATCGATAATTATTCAATGCAGTGTTGGACCATGCATACGCTGGAGCCATGTTCTAAACAATCACACAATATCCATGTCTTCATTCGATACTAACCAACAACCAAGTAGTGTTGATTGTCCGTGATAATTGACGCCAATAAAAGGGGCGAAAGACATGTCATACTTGTTTGTTAGGTAAGTGGTATCAAATGTAATATCATCGTCGAACTCTTATATGCTTGCCTACAACAATTATCTACCTAAAATACGTTCTTCAACTAGGAATCATTGTCTAAATCCATACCAAAGAAAAATCTCGAGCACTATGATTGCATTTTTGAAAAGTATGTTTGTATTGCTACAGCATTTCCTTCACCAAGTCTTAATCATCTCACATTTTCAATGTAATTTCGACAATCATTTTTCATGCAACTCATGTTCTCATAACTATCTACTTCTACAATTACAGAATTTTAATTTTTATGCAACGAAATTCCTGTAAAATGATTCATTTGTAGCTTGCGTTTCACACGTGCACTAAATTTTCCATTGTGTCGAAATAACCTAGAATTCGAAGGGATAGTTTCATGATTGTGGTTAAGGTAGATTATGTTAATTCTCCACACTCCATAAATATCTGCAGAAGCAGAGATTCTGACTTTACAACCCATCTATATTGTTGGTTACGGCTTCGAAGATCCGCTAGTGTAATCGATTCTTTGACCTTCTTGGCTACATGTCACTGTCATATATCTCAACTCTCCATTGTCTCCCCTTTTCAAATTTCTTTTCTTAACTAGAAACCAATGGCATAGGCATATTTTTTATACATGCCAAACATATCTTTTAAGTCTTTAAACTCCATACCCACCTTAGGCACAATCACAATCTCCCAATGAGGTTTTACATTCTACTATGTTAGTGGAGTCCGTATCATCCTCATAATTAGATTCCGCCAAAAACACCATCATGTTCATTTTGCACTTCATCCATAATTTCTTCCGCTGCAATAAGATAATCAGTCATGTTCAATAATCTGTAATAACGGTACAATAAGTAGCTACAAAGTTATTCTAAATCACATTTTTCACTTCCACAGAGTTCAATTACTTATCCGATAATTTAAACATAATGAAAATCTAGTACATGACTAATGGGATAAAAATGGTTCATAAATGAAGACATTAGATAAAAATGCCCACAAGCTCAGTTAAATTAAAAGGCTTAAGTGCTTCAAAATAATTAATGACTTATAAGTCCTATAATTGTTACATTTTCATTCTGGCGATAAAGTAGGTAATTTATGTATATCCTACTAGCTTGCCTTTTGGGAGAATTGATGTAGACTAAATGAACATAGAATGCTGCTTCTCTGGTTTCCAACCGAACATAGTAACAAATGATTGAGGTCTTCTACACTATTAATATCTTTTTCGGTTTCCAAGTAGGAACCCTACTAATTAAAGAAGCAGACAAAATAAAAAACTTACTAATTAAAGAACCTAACAAAATTAGAAACTTACTAGTTAACGACGGAATATGGGCAACAATGGAAGATTGTTAGTGATGGCAAAGAGAACCTAGAAATCGGGTTCCGACCTTTTCTTTTCTTGGTCAGAACGATACATATCAGAGATCTCAAACCAAGTGTTGAAATTGGAATAGGAAAAATTGTTTGGGAAAAATTGACAGTACTGTTGTTTACTTTTTTTACCTTTTATGACAATACCGTTGATTTCCCATTTTTTCCTTTTATGTGTCCAAATTTTAGCTCATTCAATTCATTCATAGGCTTTTCTCTCTCCCATATAGCCATTTGACACGTAGGATAATTCAAAATCATATCAACAGGTGTCATTGACCCCGTTCTACAAGATTAATTGTAAATTCACTGGAAAAGTGACAAATTCAGATGGTGTTTGAAAGACATTTTTATGTAAAAACACATTTTTGAATAGTAAATTGATGGGAAATTTGTAGTTGAAAAATAATGAAAATTTTTTGATTTACGTATAATATTATTTTAATAAAGAATGTGTGGTTGAAAAGAAGGGAGAAAAAAATACATTTTGAAAAAAATGGTTACCAAACGGAACCTCAAGTATGTTGTAATATTGGGCACTTATGAAAGTTGTTAAATCTGGAGGGCTTCTATGTGCAAATTTCAAACAAAAAATCTTTCCGGCTACTCCTCACCTTCTTATTTCTTAAGCCACCATTACCCACACAGTGACTGTTTCTAGGTTTCTTAGCTCATTTATCTTCATTCCCTCAACCCCACGCCCAGTGTATTACAAAAATTTTAATATATATTCAGGAGCTTAATCAGAATTCAGCATATTCTACAGTCAATAAATAAAAACTTTGAATTTGAATGGCGTCTTCGTCGGCGAATTTGTGGGTGTTGCTGGGGCTAGGGCTGGCGGGAATACTCATATTGACTAAGAAGATGAAGAGGGCTGTGAAAGCGGATTTTGGGGCGTTTATAGAGCGGCTTCAGCTACTTCCGCCGCCTCAGCCCGCCCCTCCGAAAGCCCCCCACCCTCTTACCGGCCTCTCCTTCGCTGTCTCTGATGTGTAAGGCTTTTCAATTTTCTTTTTCAATATCTTGTTTAACATTTTTTCTCTTTCTGTTTATAGCAACATTGTACTTTTCATACTTTAATAGATAATTCAATGATAATGGAATTGAATTTTCCAATGAAGATAAGAATAGCCTACAATGTACTTTTGAGTTTTTTCCTTTTTTTTTTGTTGAATTATTTTTTGCTGGTGTAGCCGATGTTTGAAATTGTTGCGTTTATCTGTTTGGTCTCTGTCTGTTTTGTAATGGAGAATTCGGTAAAAACTGAAAAGAAAAGGAGACTGAGGAAAATATAACTTCAAAGGGCTCGTGCTGAAGTATTGGTGCTAGTTTTTCCGATGTCCCATTTTATGTTCATTCTCTTCTCTTGTAAACTAAAAAAAATTTGCCTGCTCTTTTGAGGTGTAGGGAAGGAGGGGGAAAGTGGACATCTAGATGCAATTGAGCAGTATCGCCATTTTGAATTGTGAAGGGATCAAATTTACTTGTATGTATGTCATGTTGTTATTATCTTTTCTTCGTTGAATGGACACGATAGTTGTATGAACTGGCATTTTATTAAAAGAGACTTTCATGGCATGCATTCTTCAAATCCCAGTAGTCCTAAGTAAAAGGGAATTGTTGTGAAAAAAATAGAGCTACAAAACGTAATTAGGTAAGCAACTCAGGAACTTATTTATTGATAAAGAATGTGGATTTTGATGATCTGAAACCCATCATGATGTGCCTTTTCTTATTGCCGCAACAATGATTCTAGTGAAAATTCCCTTTGAAAAAGATGAATTTTTTATAAGAACATCTCCAAGAGGTTCTTTAAAATTGAAATGCTCCTTTTATTTTAAAGAGTTAACCCTGGAAATTATTCTCCAAGAGGACTCTTTATATTAACATATTAAATAGAGCCAAATCCACTCTCAACAATTTAATGCATTCGAAATATTCCAAATTTCAATGCTCTATAAATTGACCCAATTAATTAGCATATATGAAGAAAATGGAGGGACATAACATAATAATTTGGGGGGAAGCTGATGAAAATAAAAGATAGGGAAAAAAATAAATACATATTGGGACTAGTAAAATTAAGTGTTAAAGATAAAGAGGTTGTTGAGGTATTTAAAAATTTTTATTCTCTAAATTTGTAGATGCTCTCTAATTTGAAAAACATGTTCTTTAAAAATAAAGTATCTTGGAGACGCTCTAAATGTATAGAAAGGGAAAGAACTCGTGCTGTGCAAATTAATTAGTTATTGACCTTCTACTCTTGGTATTTACAGAGATGACTTAGGGCGTTGGAATGTATGGTTCATGGCCCGAATGAATATCTTCTTTGATTACATTACACAGGAATAATTCATTATGCAGGGATAAAACCCTTTGGGCGTAAAATAATTTCATTCTAGAATTTCGTCAGTGACTATTGTTTTGACTAATAGATGTTCTCTTGAAGAAATAACGATGATATTGAACTGGAGATTTACTTCTAAAAGTTTTTCTTTTGTAAGTATGCCTACTTAAATGTACAAACATAATGCTTGATTTTTGCTTGATGGTTTGTCATCTAGCGTAGGATTATTCAGGGTTTTGCTCTGCCTTCTTTCCTCTCTCTTTTTTACAGGGACGTTTTTCTTATAGTCAACATCTAAGCAAACATCTTCGTTAGTCCTTTTTTTTTTTTTTTTTTATGAGACTTCCTATATTGAAGTCGTTAAATTTTCTAATCTTGATTCCCAGATTAGATATTGAAGGATATGTGACTAGCTTTGGCAATCCGGACTGGTTTAGGACTCATGAGGCTGCTTCTCGTACGTCTCCTGTGGTTGCTGCCCTTGTTGATGGAGGTGCCACATGTGTCGGAAAAACTGTCGTGGATGACATGGCATTAGGGTTTGTACCTTATCCTCAATCTTTTTAAGAATTTCTTTACTTCAGGATTTTAAGCTTTTAACCTACTCACCGTTGATATTGGTTTGGTTATCCAAAGATGCAATGTCTATCTCGTTTTGCTTCCTTTGTGTCATCTCATATTAGTTAATTCTTTTTGGCGTTCGGTATTTTGCTAATCCTTTTTACTTCTGGTTTTTCCCTGAATCTAGTATTAGTGGAGAAAATAAGCATTACGGTACACCCACTAATCCTACCTCACCAGCACGAGTGCCAGGAGGAGCCTCTAGTGGTGCTGCTGTAGCTGTGGCTACTAACCTTGTTGATTTTTCTTTAGGTGAGCTTCCACTTTACTTTCTTTTTTTGCCCCATCATTTATCAGTTGATCTACATTGACTACTAGCATGGGATAAGGCTTTGTTTAGTTGTATTTACAGCAGCTACTCATGGATAAAAGTCTTAAATCAGTTTTCTAAGTGGATAATACGTTATTTAAGCCCTTGTTTGAGTCCCATTTTGGGGGGGGGGAAAATGCATTTTTGAATAGTGTATTGATGAGAAATGTGTGGTTAAAAAATAAGGAAAAGTTTTGAATTTGCATGTAATATTAAAGAATGTGTGGTTGAAATGATGTCAAAATACTGATTAAGAATGCATTTTTTTCTAAAGAAAGGGACTTATACAAGGGCTAAAATTCCAATACATCTCTCCTCTTGCAGGTATCACCTCGTCATAGGCCTCAAAACAGAATAGAAAACCAAACACAGTTAACTTATATTGGTTGTAGTCATGTTCAGTTCTTTACTTAATTTTCCTATTACCATAACAAGGTCATCACTAACTAGGGGAACCTCAAACTTATCCTCCTATTTAAGGTGATTTTCTATTCAACTGTTCAATGATGAAGTTGTCGACATTGATTTTGCAAATATTTTTAGAAGTTGGTTTCCTGTAGTGGATTCGTCAAAATAGTAGTTGTAGAAATTAGCTCCCTATGAATATCACTTTGAGCAACCACCTCCCAAAGCCTTAAAGCTTGAGAGAGGGTGGAACTGACATTTGTCTTTTTAATTTCCCTGTAATTTTTTTGCGAAAGGGAATAAATATGTATAAACATCGTTACAATTTGGGAGTAACTTTGGAACTCTAAAATCATTAAGGATGCCAATCAATTTCTTTAGATCAGTAGATAAATGTTGTCTTTGCTATGAACAAATGAATTGAGATTGAAGAAATGAGGGTTTTTGAAAGCAAAGGGCAAATGTTGGGCACCTTTATTTTTTTGGAAATGCAAGTCAAAAGCGCCAAGGAGGCGTTGTCACGTGCCTCTCGTGTGATGTTTTAGATTAATGAAATATGCACAAATGCAAATGAAATGCTAGAAATGCCATGAATCATAGGACAACAGAGTGGTATCACTGATAACGTTTTGAGCAATCAATAAAAAAAATGAATGAATCACAATAGCCTAATAATTTGGAACTAGAAATAATAATGCATAATATCAAACATTAAAATCCCTGAAGGTGTTGCACACTCAGCTGGGGTAAATGGCAACTGGAAATTAAGATATTTTGATTTTAATAGTTCAATTTAATCTATGAACGAGAAAGTCTTTTTCTGATATTCGATTTTATTTTTGTTTCTTCAAATTCAGTTCCTTTCTTTGGCCAATAATTTAATGGCTAACCATGTCATTCTATGTGTGTGCCTTGTGCACAAATTCTTTAACCCTTTTCTTGCATGGAATTTTTTTCACTTCCTTCAACTTAAAATTTACTTTCAACATTATTTCAAATATTTGTTGTTAATTGTTGATAATGTTTTTTAGCTTTCTGCTTCTTGTTTCCCCATCACTCACATATTGCATTGTAAATTCCTAACCATCAAACATAACCAACAAGGAAGGTTGTTTAATTGGAATTATTTGGTGGATTCCATTTGAGATGCTATGAACATTAAGTAGTATCCCTTGTGCCCTTATGTTTCATCACACATCGATACTCATATTCAGCTATTCTTTTCATCTTTGGATATAAGGCAGATATAAAGCACTTTAAACATATCTGTGCTTTACAGTGAGGACATTAGAGGCTTCTTCATCCTGGGAGTTTTTATGTTATACCTGCTTTACAAATCCCATCATCGTGAAATAATTGGAGGGGAATAATAATTATTAATGGTGCTTCATTACTATTTCTTTGATTAAGACAATTTATCATTTTTCATGCCATCTTACCTAAACATGCTAGTAAACACTGGATCTGATATTGGCATCTAGGAATAGCTGTTAGAGCTATTTGTTTTCAGTTCTTTTAGTGTTTGTGCATAAGAGGCCTGTTCGAGTATTTAGATGTATGCTACCAGCTCTTCTTGTCTGGGTGGAATTGTGTAGTAAATTCCACTTTCAAGATAAAAAGTATTTAGATGCACGGTTGTTGACTTCAATATTTGCATAAATCGGATTTTTACCTTGTGATATTTTAAATGATTGCAACTGTAAGTCGTATAAGGGTTTTATGGCAGTCTTGAATTTTCTATAGTATTTTTGGTCCTTTATGAAAAACATCTAGGAAAAGGTTTTTTATGCGAGTTTGGATGAGACTGTATCAAAAACATATTTACGTGATAGTGAAGGTGAACTCTTTTATTTATTGTCGTATAATGTTTCAATCATAGTGCATAGATATATTACAGTGAAGCAGCTTTTTTTGTCAGTGTAACTTGGTCTGCTATAAGATTTTTCTTCTTAATCTTATAAATTGTTTCTATTTAATGGAAACTCAATGATATACTTCTCAGTGACACTGCCCTGATTTTCGTCGTAGCATGTAAGTTATTCATCATATAAGTATCTGCTTGCTTTATCTGATTTTTGAAGTAAAAATTAGCTTGACAAATGAATATTAGTACTTTTATAATCATCTCTCTAGGTAATTACAGCAGCTAATACATGACCAAGAAACTTCTTATTGAATCTTGCACTAGAAGTATAACAAGTTCTGGAGTACTACAAACATCTTGCTAGTTTACAAGCACTTGCGTGGTGTTTCAGTCAGGAACATTTTCAACATAACAGGGAAATTTGTGCTTTGATAGTCCATGGGATTATTATTAGACTTAAAAATAGCTGATACTTTTTTATTAGTGAGATTTGATAACTTACTCCATTATTTAAGATAGCTGTGGAATTATGGGTCACCTAATCGTGGTTAAGGTGTCAGGGTCGTAATTTTGGTGATTTAGAGTTATTGTTGGATTTCACTACTTTGTGTCCTCAATTTTTATCAAGGTGAAAATCATTTTTTATTTTTTTTATTTTTAACTATCTATGCTTCATTGCCAACTTCATATAATGCATAGTAATATATAAACATTTGTCAAAATATTTGAGTTCTGATCAAGAAATTATCTTGAGCCTTTCATGTAATGGGTAAGGCTACATGCATCTAGTCCTTTCCAGACCCCATAGTGGTGGGAACTTTGTGCAGTGAGTGCATCCTTTTATTTATGAACCACTGTGTAAATAGTGTTTGCTGTTATGAGCTTGTTTAAGCCTCATTTTTGGTTGAGAATGCATTTTGGAATAATAAATTGATGAAGAATATGTGATTAAAAAGTAAAAAAAAAAGTTTTTGATTTGGATCGTGCGTAATATTATTTTATTTAAAAATGTGGTTGAAAAGAATGTTTGATCTTGAGTCGTTATATCATATGTACTGTTCGCTTTGAGTGGGCATCTGTCCACATACCTCCTTATGTTACAATTGGTACCAACATTCAAATTAAGTCTTTCATTAGGCAAAGGTTTTGGGTTCGAATCCGGAGGGATGAGATAAAAAGTCGTGACAGGGTAAGTGGACAAGTGCTCACAAATTGGCACTGAGATTCAACTTAAGTCTCTCATTAGGTAGAAGTCTTGGAGGACGCAATAGAAAGATGTGAGGGGTAAGTAGGTAAATGCCCACCCAAAGTAGAGCTTGGGTATAGAGGTCAGGTTGTTACATATTAATTGTGCAGCTGTGCTTATTACAATTTTTAAACACTATTTTCTTTTGTGCTGTTCATCAATGTTAAAGACTTTAAGATGCATCCTTCACTTGGTCATTAGGATTAAAAGAATCTCACACTTGAAGTATGTAATGAACTCTTTAATGACTATTCTTTGGTCTTTATAACTATTCATGTGCTGTTACTATCTTAAAGCAATTCATGATTACTTAGTTATCTATGTCAGGTATTGACACTGTTGGTGGTGTGCGAGTGCCTGCGGGATATTGTGGTATACTGGGTTTTCGGCCATCTTATGGAATTGTCTCACTTTCAGGGGTAATTCCCGTTTCCACAAGTCTTGATACAATAGGTAAGTATTTTTGAACTAGATTTTAGAAAATGGCTGTTGCATAAATTTTGAAAATTGAGGTGTTGGTATATTTTATTATCATCTTCATAATGGAGAAGTTAACTCTTTCCCTTCAACATCCTGTTAACTAGTCAAGTTAGAATGGTATTATTAATTGCGCTTCTCACATTTCAACCCATAGAAAAAGAAAAGAATAGATAGTGTTTTTTTCTTTTTCTTTTTTTCTTATTTTTAAATATTAAAAATGATTAAGAGAGAGTAAAATTGTGCTGTCACGTTCTATCTCCTACTTATCAACGATCTCCGGGAAAAGGCACCAACTTTGAGGGAAACCTTTTCTGGTCAAGGAAGCATGATCATTTCCTTGATTGCAATGTCTTCCTTAAACATGGAATTAGCCAGCTTTTAGAAATGCAAAAGAAGGAAAGTAACACAGGAGTCTAGACAACTGATCTAAATTGTGTTTTGCAAGAGCTCCACATAATCCAAAATATCAAGACCATGTATGGCTTTCGCAGTAAGTACGCCTGTAAACTGCCCATTGACTACATCCTAATACCAGTCTAATCTGTTAATTCTTGTGCATTCTTGAAATAAAATTACTCAATATCACTTTTCTCTCATTTACCAGGAACATAAGTATCATTCTTGTAATGGAAGTAGTGTAATAATACTTAAGTTTCCTTTCTTAAAAAGGATGGTGGTAAAAAAGAAATTGTGACATCATTTTGGAATTGGAGTAATATATTGTATTTTGCTATATGGTGTACCGTTAAACATCTGAATTATTTTATTTTGGTTTAACTTATGTATTTTTTTCTATTTTATTTTATTTTATTATATATTTTTTTGGGGTGATTGTGAAACATCTTGATGTCCGTTATACCATTGGGTTTCCACAGAATCATTTGATGATTCATTTACGCATTGATATCAATGTGACTATTCAGTCCATAGGGCTCATATCTTGCACAAAGTGACTTTGTCATTGCTGGTTTCTGGTCATAGTTTAATTAGAAACCTATAATGCACCGACACGGATACATTTGTTCGAATACGTTGACAAGCGATTTTTCAAAAAAGTACCGACACGACATGTCAATTAAATTCTTCATTTATATGGCATAAATTTAACTTTATACCTGTTATTAATTTTTCTTGTTTAAATCTTTTAAATATGAGTACCTATTTGTTATTTAATAATAAACTTGAGTTAAGAATATATAATATTTTTAATAAAAAATGAAAAATATTTATGATAGAATGTCCGAAAAGTGTCGATATCAACAAGTGTTGTATATGGGCGCGCTATTCTAATTGAAGTGTCCGTGTTACAGAGCTAGAAACTGTGGCAATTGTGTTTTGATTTTCTCTTTCTTTAGCTGCTGGTAACTGGCCATTGGTTTCCACAGTATCATTCTATGATTCATTTACACAGAAATCAACACGATCAGTCCCGAGGGCTCAAATCTTGCACAAAGTTACATTGCTGGTTTTCTGTTCATAGTTTAACTAGAAACTATGGCTACTGGGGTTTTTATTTTTTTTAGCTGCTGGCAGCTTGCCATTGGTTTCCACAATCATTTTATGATTAATTTGTGCATGGATATCAATGTGACTATTCACCAGAGGACTCAAATCTTGTACAAACTGATTTTTCCATCGCTGTTATGCTGTTCGTCGTTTAACTAGAAGCAATGGTCATTGGGTTTTGATTTTCACTTCTTTTTTTTCGCTGCTGGTAGCTTCCCATTACCATTCTTTTTATCTCATTTGCAAATGTCCATTTGAGTTTTCAGCATCTATTATATTCAATTTTCATTTTATGTTACCCTATATATCTTGATGAAAGGTTATGTCCATAATTTCAATTTACTGTGTCTATCCTTTTGTTATTAAGACCTATGTATTGCAGGATGGTTTGCAAAAGATCCAAGCATACTTCGTCGTGTTGGACACGTGCTATTGCAAGTTCCTTATGCTGCCCAACGTAATCCAAGGAACATTGTGATAGCTGATGACTGTTTTCAGTTATCGAAAGTTCCTATCTCTCAGGTGGTAGTCAAATCCATGGAGAAGCTCTATGGAAGTATGTTATCTTGCTTCATTAATACTGTGTTTGAATTCCTTACATGATTTAATTTTGGATCATTAATTTTCTGCGTTATATCTGAGAATTACCTTTTCCAGGGCAAGTATTGAGGCATGAGAATCTTGGTGACTATCTTAACTTGAAGGTTCCAAGCTTAAATGCATTTAATGATGGGAAACCAAATGGTGAAGTAAAATCTTCTTCCATAAGATCGTTAGCAATTGTCATGCAGATGCTTAAGAGGTGAGTCTGCTGAGTAGTCCCAAGTAAATGATTTCCATTATTTTGATCCAATCTATTTATTATACTTGGAAATACTTTATTTTTAAATACTCCCTTTCCCCCAACAAATTTGGTGACTCTCATTTCAATTGGTATTTTTAGGTAAAGGTGAAGGACTATTCTATTACAATTTCTCAATTTTACCATTTTAAAATTATGAACTTCAGTCTCTCTTGCTGTCTCTATTTTCAATCTTCCCCACCCGTCTTACCCCAATAGCTACGATGAACCAGCAAAGTGCCACCATCATCTTCCCACATCGCCACCACATCTAAAATTTTCGAACTAACTCCCAGCAGAATAGGAGGTGAGGGAGACGTCAGAAGAGATGATGTAGAGGAAGGTTGTAGTTCTGGAAATGGGAGAAATGGAAGAGATTTGTGGAGTGGAAATCATTCTAGTGAGGTCCAGACAAAAATGATTCGGTGTAGGTTTTTATTGGGTAAAACACTGTTGTATTTTGCACATTGCATTTTGTCCTTTCTGTATTTGCAGCTTCATGTAGTGTTAATCTTCATGTTTTTCATTTCAGTCCATAGCAAAATTCTTTTCTAATCTCTTTAAAATTGAGCTTACTAAAATTATTTTAACTTGTAATTTCCTTTGATCTCACGCCTTATCCTCTGTGTCATTTTATGTATTTCCATTTTTTTTAAAATTACATTTCTTGTATCAGAACTGACTCTTTTCTATTTGGAAAGTATAGTTCTGAGATTTAACTAATACAATATAATTATACCTTCTTTATGCTAGTTTTCTTCATTGACATTTACGCAGATGGTGCTCCCACGGGTGCCCTTGTCCAGAATAGGAGATGACAAAAACAAAGAAACAATTCTTAAGTATTCTTATTCCCCTATTAAACGGTCTAGCTTTTCTAAAAGACGTAAGCGTGAGATCATATTTAATGGAGGAGTAAGGTCAAAATGGCAAAGCATTTCTAATTTACTCCTTCCAACTACCTCTACTTAAAAATCTTATAAACCCTCATCTTTTTGGAAGCTGAAGGGTGTCTTGTATTATTTCAATGACTAGATTATGTGAAATTATGATGCATCTTTTGGCAGCTTGGTTGATCCCATGAATTTAACAAAATTAACTAGGAGACCTCTCTAGAACTGTATATCAGTAAATGTATAACACTATAGGGCAGATAACTGGAATCATCGTTACCTTCCAGGATTATAATAAAGTGATTTTATGCTATTTGATTACAGGCATGAATTCAAACAAAATCATGGCGAATGGATAAACTCAGTAAAGCCTTCTTTGGATCCTGCTATCACATCTCAAATACCTGAAGTGCTCGAGTTGGCCAATACAGAATTAGAAAAAATTCATACAGTTAGGAGTGAATTGCGTTCAGCTCTGAATGCCCTTTTAAAGGTATTCGTTTATAATATCTCAAGTAAGCATGGTGTAGATACTCAATATTTTTGGTTGTGGTCTTGTATTATTTATGTACAAGTATTATTTATGCTTTTATTTGCTTTTTCCTTGTCTTTGCCTGTTGCCAATAGTGGCTATGAATTGCTGGCATCTAAATTTCCCTCCACTTCTTGCTTAACTTCCTATGGATATATATAATAATTCACCTCTGCAATGATTAATGTCTTTTCCGACAAGATCTGAAATGAAGACAATTGAGTTTATTTCCTATTTATTATGTTTCTGGTGACAACGGGCTTTCTCGTGGTTTCTTGAGCATAAATCACTTGATTTTATCTTTGGTGTATCATAACTACTCAGTTTGGTCGATGAAGTCATTCTTCTAAAATTTAGGATCTCACCTCTTTATATGTTGTGTTCTATTTTTCTGTTTTGCATTACATGTTTTTAAGTAATTTTGGATTCATTAGAAAATGTTCATTTGTTTGAACTTTAATGATAATAATTTACTTCAAAAAACCTGCCATTTTAAGAAACCAGACCTTCTGTAAATGCTAGGTCAAGTAGGTTACACTAGTATCGAGTTGACAATATTGATATCGGCAATGACCTTGGTTGCTTTTTATTGGCAATTAATTAACTCTATGCACTTAAAATGTGTTGTGATCTGTTACAAATCCATAATTTCATTTTCCCTTCATTTGGCTTTATTCAACAAATATTAATCGACCTCATAGTCATAATTAGAGCCACTTATTGCTCAATATTAACGAATGCAAATAATATGAACTGCGATGACAACCCTAACAGCAAAAAAAATAAAATGAAAAAGGAGTTATCATGTCCAAGATCCTGCCATTAAGTTTGCCATATTTTCTCAAGTTTATTTCATGTCAGCATTTTACTTATTCTTGCTGCCCTTGGACAAAATATTATAAACAGGATGGGATACTAGTGATCCCTACTTCTGCTTATCCTCCTCCAAAATTTGGTGCAAAGGAGATCCTATCGGAGGACTACCTGATCAAAACATCTGCTCTTTCAAGTTTAGCCTGCATGTCGGGCTGCTGTCAGGTTAAATTGTTGGCTTGTGGCTTGCATACGGGAACTTTTATTGCCAACGTTTCCTTACTCTCAAGTCTCAGTATTTCTTCTCTCATGCAGGTTGCAATACCACTGGGATTCGAAGACAAATGTCCCATCTCTGTGTCCCTATTAGCTGGGCATGGAAGTGACAGATTTTTGCTTGATACCCTAATCACTGTACATGCAACTCTCCAGGAGGAATTCGTTGTAGCCACAAAATCAAAAACATCAAATAATGCTGTTACCCAGGAAGCATTAGCAGAGTTGGCTAAAGATAAGGTATATACAGATGAATTGAATGCTGCTGTGAATTGCCATTACTGTAAGTTATGAATGAACCAGTTTTTCTTTATTATCTTCCAGTCACAAAATCCTGTCTAGAAACTTTGTCTATGACATTCTCAAGAGACAAATTAAACCTTGTGTTCGACTGTCGCATTAATCAATTGCAATGTTTGATTGGGATGCCTTCCAAATGTTCAAAAGATTTTAGTTGCTGCAATTCTTTCTTTATATATCTTACGAACAATTAAACCTTTTAGAGTTTACTCGCATGCTTATCTCAAATAACGAATAACTATTAAGTTAAATAACGAAATATGTGTGAGATTCTGGACTAATCAGATTTCTAGTTACTATATTTGAGTGTTCACAGCTATGTTTTCCTGAGACTATAATCCATCAATCCTTGCTTGTCACTTTGGATCTGGTTCTCTCTGCAACTTCTTTATTTTTCTTTAAATTTTGTAGGTTTGACATAGTGATGAATTTAAAGTAGAAACATTATATTAATATTTAGTTTGTATTCATTCTTTAGTTGGCTCTATTTTATCTTTTCGGATTACTTATAGGGTAACCAAGCATTCAAAGATAAGCAGTGGCAGCAGGCCATTGGCTTTTATACAGAAGCTATCAAACTCAATAGTAGTAATGCAACATATTATAGTAACAGAGCGGCAGCATATTTGGAACTGGGAAGGTAGTCATTTTTAAACCTCGATTCTTGTCTCGTTTATCTGCTTGAAGATTTTATTTATAACCTTAATTTTCCCTTGTTTACCCAGTTTCATCCAGGCTGAAGCAGATTGTAGTAAAGCCATTGACCTTGATAAAAAGGTTCTCTCTCCCTCCCTCTCTAGCTGGCAGTATAATTATCCTTGGAATAAATTTTTTTCTAAAGCTGAGCTATATAATCTAATATTATCTTTACTGTGGAAATGTACTGATGTCCTGTATAATTAGGTAGTGTCATTTTCTGTGATTTCAATACTTAAATAAGTCGGCGGCGAGATGAGATGGAAAGATAATTAAAAATCAATGTGATGTCATCTATGGAAGTGACCTGTGTCAGTCTGAAACAGGATCCTGTCTTTGTACACTGACAATGATGCATATTTTTTGGAGTGATGATCATTGAGTTAAATTATTGATACAGTTGTTTTGAGTTGATATACCCTAACTTATAAATTCTTATTCATTGCACCAAACTTTCTTTTTTCGTTTGACTGAATTGACACGAGGCATTCTTTGCAGAATGTAAAGGCCCATTTAAGAAGGGGAACAGCACGGGAAATGTTGGGATACTATAAAGAAGCAATGGAAGGTGAGTCCATTTTTATCCATTCTCATTTTTTACTGTTTAAAATACGTATATATTCATGTATAGGTACGAATTTATAGTGTCTGAAAAATCACGGTTGACATTGCAGTTCCAAGATTAACCGTTCTTTACATTTTAATGGAAAAATAACTAGATTCTTGTCTGATTTATTTAAGCCCCGTTTGTTTCCCATTTTGGTGAGAATGAGAATGAAAAATATAGTCGTTATGGGCCCCACATAAGAGATAGAAATTCAAATTTGATGGCTTGATGTGATGGATAACGGTCATATTTTTTATTTTAATGAGGAAAGAATGGGAAACAAACAGGGGCTTAGGCTAATTTATGTATGACAATCACGCATAATAGCTGGACTTCTCTTCTGGGCTTGCAGATTTCCAATATGCACTTGTTCTTGAGCCGAACAATAAAAGAGCAGCTCTGTCTTTGGACAGGCTGAAGAAATTATTCCTATAGGCGATTCTAATGTATGCGGTGTAGGAATACTTAACATGGTCAAACATCTTCCCATGTAAACGGGTGGATCCATTTACACATATCGAACATCCATAAGTCTTTCATGGAGCAGGGGATCCATCATGACTGCTTTGTTGGTCCCAATATGTCTCAGCAGTCATCATATCATTTGCTGTCATTATAGAGCGATTTTGCCTTATTTATGTTGCATACAGGTTGTAACTATAGAAGTCAGCTAAAATTTATTTTTTGGTAGGATTTCATAGTTTCCTGAAATATTATTTCTTTCAGCTCTGTTGTTGGTGCGAATAATGACGTATATTATCATAAATATCCATGTATATTTACGATTATTCACCCTCGCAAAGAGGATTATGTTTTGGTTGTGGGAAGATTGAAATCTCCTTAGAAGAATCTGGTTGATTAAGTTACGAAGCTGGTTGATTAGCAATCAAGCCAAAAGAGCAGATGAACATGGTGAACCATGCCGAATAAGCACAATGTTGAATCTATCAAGCCGAAGTTGAGTGACGAAATATTGCCCCTTCTACTCGATGATAGAGGAGAACAGAGCTTCAAAATTGTAAAGCAATACTGCCCTTCGGCTGAAGACTAGTTCTTGCAAATAGTTTTGGAGAATCAGATTATAATCTCTCTTAAATTCTAACATGGCAACAGATCTTTCCTCTTGACCAGAGGAGTGCTGGTTCAATGCTTCCTGGTTGCTACTTTGCCCCCTTGTCAACCTGCGAGTCTTTTTGTACGGTGAAATGCTTCCCGTTCCCATTTAGAGGTAGTTTTCGCATTCCCTAGTCTAAGACTTGGTTGGATACAGGATTTTCTCCACAAACACAAGGACGTTCAAGGGTGTTGAGCCAACAGAAAATCATCAAGGTATTATTTAGTTTTGTTTATACATTTGCTAACTAACGATGGATTATCAAAAAGGGATACATGTTTGGATAAAATTATAATGGGATAATAATGAAAAAATAAAATAAAATAGATGGTCCCATGAAATGTGTGGCTTAGTAGTTGTGAATATATAGTTAAAATTAATGTATGGTTTGGTTTGAAATTATAATGTTATCCAAACAAGTTCGTTAGGAAAAAAATTGTCCATAGCTATCATGAAGCTACAAAATGCTTCTATTTAACTATTCTTCTAACCTCCCTTAATGATATTCATTTAGTTGTGATACTGCTTGTTATAGGACATGGGATTGATCTTTTCAAAGAACTTGTCAAATATGCGCCACAAATAATACTGGTATGATGTCGAGGGCAGTGCCATTGTTATAGATTTCAAAATTGCAGTATCTTGATCAGTGATAATAAGGCACCGGGGGTGATTGGTTTGGCATTACTTCAAGGAACTTCAAAAATAACCAAACAAATGATTCCTTGGTCTTGTCACTCAATATTCAACAGACAAAAATAATGGTCTGTCTATGGTGATTTACCCAATAAAAGGGGCAAAAATCAACGAGTTCCTATTGATGTATTAGGTTGTGTCGAATGTCACATCATCATCGAAAAACACATGATCTTCCTGACTTCGAATAAGCCTAGAAAAATCGAAAGTTCTTGTCTAAGCTCATGTCTCAATCTCCATGACGATATGTCAAAGGCTCAACGAAGTACAAGTCTAGAAGCCCAATTACATCTTGTAACTTTTCTTGCCATTTAGGAAATTGTGGGAAATATGAACTAGTATAAGCATAATTGGGATAAGTAAAGGGTTTATATAGCCATCCACCAATCAAAAAAATAAAGAAAACATCGATGAGTTCTATTTCATATAACCTTGACAACCAAGCCTTTCAAACAACTGGAAGTTTTGATAAAAAAATGTAAACAAAAATACATCAATGTACGTCACTGCTTTCAAAATACTATTTGATGTGGGTATCAATCTTCTAGACTAACACATTCCATAGTGAGCGAGGAATTCCATCAAACCTATCCAAAAATGTAATGTCTCAGACGATTAAAATATATAATTTATTTTTACCTCTGACCAATGTTAATTATTAATTATAAAATTTACTTGTACAATTATAAGTGAGCTTAGTCAAACATGAATTAAATAAAATATCTAATTTAGTAATAAGATATTCATATTACATTAATCTCATGAATATAATAATTAATAATTGTGGAGTCTTTATAACTAAATTTGGACAATTGGATACTGGGCTTGAACCGAGATTCAAGCAGGAGTTGGGGTAACATACTTTTGGGTGAATAAGTATAAAATTCATCTTTTACAATTAACTTTGCGTCTGGGCTGGGGGCAAGCCGGATCCTGACTGGTGACTATCGAGGCATGATCAGAACAAGCTAGATCTCCATAGACATTCTCTAAATACTGTATTACACGATCAGCACGAGACTAAGGACATCTCCAATGCTATCACCAAAGCACCAAATTTCACCAAAGTCTGGTGCAAAAACTTTCTAATGTGGCACCAAAATTTGCACAATTTTGATGCAAAAATGGTGCAAAGTGAATAATGTTGTATTATATTGCAACACTATTCACTTTACACCATTTTATTTGTATTTTTTCCCATTTGCCAAAATAATTGATAGAGGGTATTTATGTCATTTGCGTTATATATTTTTTAAAACAATTATTATTATTATTATTATTATTATTATTTGATTTAATATTTTCATTTTGTAGTGTTTTTACTAATTGTACTATGTTTTTTTTTTATATATTTATTCATAAATTTAATCTTTTCCTTAATTTAATGTAGTTATTTATTTAGTAATTTATGTATTTGTAAAATAAATAAATAATATTTGTTTCAAATAAATAAATTATTAAGAAGGAAAAAAAAAAAGAGAAGAAAAAGATTAAACACTGCTCATTTGTTATAAGTTTTGGTGTAATGATTGGTGATGATTTTTAGTTTAGTGTAGGATTTAGTGCAAAATTTGTTACAAAATGTTGCAAATTTTGATACAGGGTTGGAGATGGCTTAAATCCCTTTTTTACCTTCATTTTCAAAAACTTTTATTTTTAATTGATTTTTAACCATATATTTTATATGATCCAAAACATTTATTATTTTCTTAATAATATATTTCATCAATTTTTATCAAAATATTCTACTCCTCCATCCCAATTATATAGCAGAGTTTAATTTTTCTATTGTCCCAAATATATATATATGTTTTTTAATTTAAAATATTTTGTTTTGTTCTTTTATCAATATACCCTTATTCAATTGTCTTTAATATGCATACTGTTTGAAATCATTCAAATACACACAGTTTTCACTTCTTCGAAACATAAAACAACTCCCATATTTTCTTTTTCAAATTCTTTACTAATTCCAACAATAATTTACTACTCCACTGAAAATTAAATAGGGGTAAATTAGGAATGATCTTGGCAAAAATTAATTTTCCAATAACATTAAAGAAAATTTTTTAATCCATGTGAAAAACGAAGCAAGCTTATATAATTGGGACGGAGGGAGTAATAACTAAATCAAACAAGGGCAGTCAACATCTCAAACCTAATTGCTAATTACACTATATAGTTCAAAATCGCCTGTTTCTGCTAATAGCTTCATAATTTGAATATGTTGCACAAATAAAAGTAGATTATCACCTCAAAGAAAATAAATAATTCACTTTTATCAATTTAATGAAAATTAATTAATTCAAACGACCTCATAAGCGTTCCGATTTTTTCAAGTTAAACTACTCATTTTGCTAAAATAAGCTACTCTATGCACAATTTTGCATGGTAAACGTCCAACTTTATTCCAAATTATACATCAGGAATTATAGATCTCACTGTATATGTCTTTTAACAATGAGTCAGTGACAAAAACGTTCAACATATTATAAGAAAATTAATTTGAGAACTTTTATACTATGTTTGATGTTCACAAAAATATCTTTCAATTTAAAATCAACGCAAGCATATAGTTTGTTAATAAGTAATAGAGTGAATTTGAGTCCAAATATTGTCTCACAGAAATTAATTTAGTTCGATTTTACTTATCGCGACCATGAAAGAAATGATAGTAATATGATTTGTTAGTTTTATCAAAATTACAACTAAAATTATCCATTTATGCAATTATGAGCGAATGTAAGCTAAATATAAATTATGCCAAATACAAGTTTGATGTGCTCTAATGAATGACAAGCGCACTATGATCTCAAATTCCCATGTAATAATCATTTTTAACTTTAGTTCTACACGTTGACAAGAAGATTGAACTTTGAAGAATCAATGTTCTTATTTTATTCAACAATCCTTTTCGAGTAATGTTAAATCTACTTTCAGATACGACTTGACTATATTTCTGTGACAGATGTGAACATACAAAAGTGCATGAATTTTTAAAGACACTTAAAGATTCATGTAGAGTATAGTAATATATTTCTATCCTTATCGGACCCTGTGATGATTTGCACTATGTCGAACATGTTTTCCTTCTTTCTAATGCATAAAATAAGCCACTAAATTCATACAATTACCGTGCACAATATTTGAAGAGAAGATAATCATGTGTTCATTCAAAATCTAAAAATGTGTTTCCAATATCAAATATGTAAAATGAGAGATTAAAAACTCATATTACATGGGTCATCATTTTCCAAGTACAAAGAAATCTAACCTAACATGTTATGAAGAAGAAAAACAGAAGAAATATTGAAGAATCGACATCACCCAAATAAATCTTGAATTGAATCTTTGAGTTTTTGAATCGATCTTTGTGTTTCTTGCCTCCTATACTCCAAAATTTGTTAGAATGCGTCTTCCTTTGTTTCTAGATGGCCCTAGGTGTTGAAAGACGTCCCCAATATTGTTTCCATAAGAGTTTGATTCCAATAAAGAAATTAGAAATTTTCCTCTGAAAATGTACTATGCTATAGCATAGTACAATCGTATACTATAGCATAGTTCAACCAATCTCAACCTTTGAAATTCCTTGAAGCTACCTATGTGACCACATAGCATAATGTACTATGCGATTGTATAGTATAAACAAAAGTTTTAGTCCCTGAACTCGTTCTCTCTCTTTTTTTTTTTTTTATCTCTTTTCTTGCCTCTTCTTCTTCCAATACTTCATTCCTTCACTCAATTGGTCGACTCTTTTGCATCTTTGTTTCTTCTTCCAGATCATCTTTTGGCTATTTGTACTTTAGTCTCTGAACTTTTATTTTCTTCTATTTTAGTCATTTTCGCTTTTTTTTCATGTCCATCAATTTTATCCTACACATATATAATTAAGTTAAATTTCAATATATTTACCAACAATTATACGTATTTTGTGACCTAAATAAGTGTGCAAAACGCATTTATCAAACCCCTCAATCTTGAACTATTATTTGTTCTCAAACAAAACATTGTTTGACAATCTACCGTGTTCCAAGATTGA